GTTTTCATGTAAGTCGATGGCGCTTCTTGTGCGAGAAGTTCGTGTTTGACAGAAACAATCCGTGGTCCGTGCAGAGTTGAAGTAGGCGATCTCCGTTGTCCGTTGTAGGTCATCCTGACTGTGGAATTAGCCATATTACACTATTCATAATACTACGATGTATTGAAGATTAATCATGCAGTATCGACAAATAACACTAGCCCACCAGAAGGTCAGTGAAATCCAACAACGGTCTGAAATTGATTCATTCAGTTACGCCAAAACCCGTAACAGGTATTTTCATCAATGAAAGTTGCGAAATAATGCGAATCTTCAACTACCTTTGAATAACAAAGTTAATTGTAGAGGGTATCTTATTACACTATCATCAGCATCAAAGATACTTCGGAGGAACAAAGGACTGACCGCTTTGAAGAGCGCAAGGGGTACTCCCATTATAGCGCAACAACAAAACTATGAAAATATTATACGGTTGAGTTTCGGAATTATTCAAACGAAGTGATCCTTCGAGGAGGAAAGAACGACGGCATAAAAAGGTCTATCTACATCTATTGCAGTTATATGTAAAATGAGGGAAGAATGCGATATGAACAAACACGCAACATACATTGGTCTTCAACCACGCAGGTTTAAACATATGTGAATTCGTACGGATGAATGAAGATCAAATTTAATTTATCTCATGAGCGATCAGGGCATTTTTCTGAAAATACTTCAAGATATTCGTAACTAAAAACATACTTATGGCATACAGACAGTAAAACTTAGAGCGGATATGGCTAAAACCTCATCAGATATCAACTGCACGCAAACCAATGTGACTGGTTTCATTCTAAACCCCCGGAGAGGGGTTTAACGCACCAAAGGGGTACCTTTCGTTCCAGGGCGCAACGATGAGCAGCTCGCTGATCCCGCTCAACACGGATCAATTCTACCAGTTCCTCTTCCTCTTCGGCATCGCCCCCACTTTTGAGGACATCTGAGAGCAAGGAGTAAACAATAATGAGAGAAAGACGAGGGAAAACGTTATTTTCGTGAATCAGAGACGCAGGTGACATTATGAGGTAGTGTACAGTAAAGTAGTAATCAAGCGCTAAAAGAAATACCTTTAGTCGCATCATGTGCAAACGATGATGATGAACGCACAAAGTGATTTACAACAGAAGGCGTCAACCCCATAATCAATGACATACTGTAAGGGAGGTGTTGGGGAACATTTAAGTGGGAATCAATTTGTTAATCCTGCTTTTGAAAAAAGTAAGATTATAGGGGCTTGGAAACATCGAGACGGGAAAAAGGTTCGCAATTTCGAAGTCCTGGGGAATCACGACTGGAAGACAGAGATTCGACATCCGGGGACAGAAACCTGATAAGAGTGACAGCCCGCCTGCGGACGCGAAAAGGTCAAGGGGAGGGGGACCGCTGAAGCGAGTTCAGAAGAGCAGAAACCAAAACAGTAACGATCGAAAAGAGATAACGAAACAACTGCCGAGCGATGAGAAAGTGACTGCAGGTTCGTCGCCGGATGGCCTTATGTTGATTATGATCGAGGAGAGAAGGAGCAGAATACGAAGATCGATCTCACACGTGACTGCAGTAGTCGAGTACCGGGTGGTTTTGAGATTGGTATAAAGTGGTGCTTGGGTGTAAAGAAGAGCTTCGCACGGAGTAGGAAACTCATTTGGCTCGCAGCGAGAGGCGGGTGTGGAAATTAGAGGGGATTCACAAAAAGAAGAATTAAAGGATACACTCAAGAGGGATAGAAAATTTGTGGAACAAATGGGCAGTGAGTCAAAAATCAAGTGAGCAGAATAGGGGACTTTAAGAAAGACGGAGAAGAGTTTTGGAAGCATTAAAACGTACATGTTCGGAATAGAACAATGGAGAGCGGCATCATCGGCAACGTAATGAATGGAGTTAGAGGTTGTGGACAAAAGATCGTTTATAAGCAGGAGAAAAAGAGTGGGTGAAAGTATGGAACCTTGTGGAACACCGGCGTTCACAGGGAATGGCTGAGATAGTACCTGATCGACTCGAACGGAGATTGTCCATTTGCTGAAGAAACATTGGAAACGGGCGGAAACCTAACGTGAGTAATTCCGACAGCAGATTTTCATGCCACACGCGGTCGAAGGCCATTGAAACGTCGAGCGACAGTAAGTGAGTTTCTCCGTGGTTATCGAATGCAGATGACAGGAAAGCGATGTGAGCACCAATAGATCAACCGTAGATCGATGACGGGAAAATCCATATCGACGGTCATTCAAACCTTCGCGTTCGAGAAACTTACACAACTGGTCGCAGAGAATAGAGATGGGGTGATAGTTGTTGGAGTCACTACGCTTTGGGATAAGAAAGCTGATGGCATCCTTCCATCGAGTGAAGAAAAGAAAAGGAGCTAATTCCGAGACATCTTTTCAGGCTGATAGGAGGAATACCGTCCGGGTCGGGCGAGTTACAAACATCCAAACCCCGAAGGGTTTGGCGGACGTTTCTGGTTGTCATGATAGGTGGAAAGAAGTGATTGGATGTAAGAGACTAGAGCTGGAGAAGAGAGTCGACATATAAGGTGGAGTTGGAGGCAAATGGGGAAGTGAAGAACTCTGGCTTTTCGTGGGGTTTACAAGCAGGAGTACCAGAGTGGCAAATGGGAGGAAAGTTAGACGGGCGAAAATTACGTGAAACCGCTTTAGCGAAGGACCAGAATGTTCGGTTGCCAGAGGCGAACGAAGCCAGGCGCGCAGCTTTGTGTCAAGCGAAACGTTCTTTAGCTTTCCGTATGGTGAGTGGGCATTTGTTTCTGGGTTGCACGAAGCGGTTGCGGAATGTTGTTTTGAGTGACTGGTGCCAACGACTTTATTCCACCCACTACCTGCCTCAGTGAACATCACTCGCCATGTCAACCTATATGGTGGAATGCGTAACACAGGTCACAATCAACGTAATCTGTGGAGGTCGACTATTTGGTCCAGTGGGTGACCGCGGTTGCTTGAAAATCTGCGCTTAATCTCAGCGTTCCTGGTCCGGCTGCCTCACCAGATTCGTGCAATGCTGCGCAGACAGCGGTGTTCAAACACCGACAGTCTATCTTTATCCTGTTTTCTTGATGGTGAAATCTCTGCACCGTACAGNACCGTACAGCAGAACTGCCGCGGCATACACTCGATCCTTCACAGACAGCCGGATGTCGCGACGGCGCCACAGATGTTGGCAAATGCCAATCGAGCCTTCTGTATGCGAGCTGACACATCATCTGTGAAGCGTCCACCGGGTGAGATTTAGCTGCCCTGTTAGGATGGAGCTTAAACAACCCGTTCGATCGCGCACGCCTCCGATTCAGGTCACACGCATGCTGCCAACGCTCCAGAAAAGCTGAGTCCGATTGGATGATCACAGAATGAATCAGCCAATGTTTGTCCAATCGATCGATCGATATGTCATGGACGCAATCCGATTGATTGGTGCGTCAATGCGCCGTTCTCGTATGCGCGATTTGTTCTATGTATTTGCGTATCGAAATCTAATCAGAAAAATACACACTGACTGTTGTCTCCAGCTGTGTTTTCTCTCTACATTATCGTTTAGGGGTTAAGCAAGAGTCGCTCGTGTCATGCATACGCATAGACCGAACACAACAGCCCAAGTAACAAAACTAATCCACCCGTTCTAATACTTCCCGAGTGAGGCTGGGTGCTGGACCAACCCAGTATTGTACAAACATTTTACACTTTGAAGATGCAAAATGCAAAGAGAACATAGAATGAAATGGGTTCAGGGAAACGAGTGAATAAGGCAATGGTCCGATGAGCTTAATGCGGAGGGGGAAGTGATGTTGGAGAAACAAGAAGAGTATGAGGTCAAGGATGTGGGTGCGGTCATCAATACGATCAGGGATGTGTGTGGGGAGGTCAACTAGTTGACTCATGTTGTTGACCACAGCAAAAGCCTCAGCTTTGTGTTCCATGAAAGAATTATCTGAAGAGTGCTTCAGCCATTCCTTGTTGTGGACATTGAAATGTCCAAAAGCGGTAATTTGACTGTTAGGATCTGCCTTTATCAGTGGTTCAATGTTGAACGATAGAATATCAAAAGTAGAAGGATCGGTGCTGCTTGGGGGGGGGGGNGTAAATGGTACACAAATAGTGGCTGAAAGAACGGAACCGAAGTTTCAGTCACAAGCTGAAATTCAGAGGTCGGAAAATCGATGTGCAAAAGTCAGGAAGAAGCGGCAGAATGATGCATATGGACGCAGACACCAGATTTAGGAAGAAAAGAAGAACGGAGAAATTAGTTTAGCAACTGAGGTAAAATACTGTTTAATGAGCGAGAGATCTGTATTTCAGTCAAAAGTGTAAAGCCATGGAGAGGGAGGAGAAGATCGAAGAACGTGGTGTACAGAACTAACATTTCAATTTAAATTGCGGCTAAGAATAAAAAGACGGCTTGTGGATTTGCTGAAAACCCACCTACGCAGTTTAGAGTTTTTCCAACTGCAGCGACGAAGGGTATAGGTAGAATCAGAAATAGCCGAAGGAACACTTTGCCATGTTGGATTTGCTCGCGGTGAAAACGGCAAATGCAGCGCTGCGCATGCGTCCGTAAGACTAGTCACACGGATGGGATCGCGCAATAACACGTGAAGAGTACAATAAATAAAGCTAGGTGACGACCATGGACCGTGTAGCTCAGGGGTTATAGTTTTAAGTCCCAACCCGAAAGTTCGCGGTTCGAGTCCTGACAAGGACACAAAAAGTACGCACTGCTGACGAGTCCCAGACAGGACGAAACCCACACCCAAGACCATCAAGAGTGCCTGGTGCCTCTTAACAATCGAATGGGCCAATGCAAGCCTGCTACCGTAAAATTAGGTAGCTTTTATTCTTTCCGTCTATTTCATCGTAAATAACTCATGCAATTTTCCCCACCACTTAAAAGCATCTGCTAATAGAGGGTCAAAATGAATGTATTCCAAATCTCCTAAGGGCGCAACATAGCAGGAGACTGTGTTTCGGCTCGATGAAATGGCACGTGCTTCTCACACGAAAAGTCAAGGGGTGAGCAGACAATTATGAAAAGATCAAACTCCCCGTTATCATGTCACTGACCTGGGAAAGCACACGGTGTGAATCCAACCGAGGGTTTTAATCTTTCCTTTATTGGAACGAAAACTTTACGAAACTTGACGGGAAAAAGCAGGTCCGAAATGTTTACAACCTTCGTATGAACTAACTGGCCTTAGACTCAAGCACGTGCACTTTTTGAAAGCGGTACAGGATACCGTGGAGCATCATGCATTTACGAGAACAATATTTCAACTATGTTGCACGAAATCAACGGAAAATAAGTCATTTAACAGCAACATAGTACACAGAGTCATATCTATGAGAACACTGATAAAACCAAGCCCGCCTGTTTGTGATTATAAAATAAACAAGGCAGTTTGACTAAATGGGTCAAAATTGACGTATGTGAGTATTACGGTAAGATCACAAACAGTGAATTAAAAGGCAGCTCAGAAGAATACATACTACCAAGGAAAAACGTCGCTCACATGATACGACCCACTGATTTAGTGAAGATTTCAGTCATTTGCACCCATTACCACGACCTTCACTATGTAGTTAATTCTCGAAATAAGCCGGATGTCATAGTACAGCGAGGTGAACTTTGTGGATTGCCACGAAGCTCGAAATCCCTGTCAAGTAGGAACGAGTAAGGTGGATAGGGAGTGGGCTCATTTTGAGCGAAGAAAAAAGACCTGATCTAACAGTACACGCACATCTCTTCAGGCATTTTGCACTGATAGAATGCAACGAGAACACCACCGTTGTCAGTCTGCTGCCTTATCATTCAGTGACTCAAACTAAGCAGTTATATTCTTTCCGGTCCGAGTCTGGGATGAGGCGAGACACATAGCGCACCTTCCTTCTTGGTACATCTTTTAGGTATTTTTTTCCCCCAGGTTATCCGTTAACCTCCCAGTAAATTTTCTTACACTGGGGCGGCTACTGTAAATGGGCCATGCATGTCATTAATTCCGTCGGTGATAAGCTAGAGTGAAAGTCTTTGCAGGTCATCACATAGATGAATTGGAGGACGGCAGGCAATAAAACCTTAGTTACATGCGATGAGAATACCAACACCACAGGAGCAATACAAGGGTCCGCAGGCAAAATAAACCTGAAGAAAATGTTATTACTTACCTGATATCAAGCGATCCATTTCTTGATCCGTCTGCAGTAGCACGTTCAACTCTTCCAGGACATCAGCAATCGGACGAAGGGCTTGCCACCGCATAGCTGTTTCTCTATTTAAAAAGAAAAAAGAAAACTAAACTAGAGATTCGTGTCTAATAAGCACAACGGAAGAAGAACAGAACAGTCATAACGATTCAAGCCCACAGTGGAGGAAATCGTAGGCTCACACACATCTATGGGCACCACAAGCATGACAAACACCCACATAAACCAGAGACAGTGCTTGTCTCACTAAAATCGTTTGATTGAGTGACTGTTCGACCGATAAAGATCGCGGTAATTTCTTTCCGTTTATACATGTTTACTTAAATGTACCAATATGACTGTAGTGGTTGGAGAATGAAATGAACGGGAAACATGTTTGTGAAACCTATGTATTTTGATAGTCTTTCAGCTGTGAAGAGATGCCATCGAAGACACTTATATTCAAATTGGGCAATTGTATTTTCTGTGTGAGTCCCTTTCTGGAGTTCATGTGCAGTGTCAGAGACAAAAGTGCATGTGAACGGCACGCCCTTAGATGCATAAATTCATGAGTGGTTCCAAATTAAGCAATCTATTACGCTAAACAAGAGGTGCACAGGAGAATAAAAATGTCCAAAAATTATCATCATCATCGTACGGTGAGGTAACGAGAAATAAACTCTGAGGATCGCTGCCAAGCTCTCAATGGACACAGAGTGGGAAAGAACAAGATAGATAGGGTTTGAGCCTAACTGGGCGGAGGCAAAGAAAGTTTACCTCTATGATCAAGACAGAGTACACAATGGAACTCTGCATACGTACCGTTTCAAGCATTCTGGCGTGATAAGAAATGACAACAAGAACGCCACCGCTGACGGTTAGTTGCTATATCCCTCAGTGTCTCTAACCAACCAGTTGCTGAGTATTTCGGATCCCGACCTGGAAGACGGGGACACCTACTCCATCTAATCGCATTTCTTCATACATCGTTCCCACATCATCTGTTGCCTCCCCTACCACCCACCCCCCTCTCCACGTGGCCTCCTCCAACCTGGAGCAACAACTGCGAATAAGGCGCGATGAGGTAGGTGATATGAACTTATGAAATCATAGATGTCTCAGACTCATATTCATGCGAAAGTCATTTGTCTCAAAATCTGCACGCAACACATCCACCAACTCTCCCTCCTTTTCGAATGGTTCCACTGACGTAGGTTCATGTTGTAGCTTGCCGCTATCCTTCTTGATCTCTTTCCAAGCAATGCCTTGTCATTCGGAGCCGACCGTTCCATCCCTCCGACCTCACTCTATGTTCAAACCGGTTTCGTTTAAAGTAAGAACCCTAATGCGCACAGGACAGCAAGCAGGTTTAGCTCGTACAATCGAAAGTTTAGGGGTAATATGTGTTGCCTCTCGAAAACACGTACACAGAATCCGATTAACGTCACCTTCCGATCCGAAAGCGTTTCAACTGCGCGTTTCCGGCGACTCTATCGCATCAGCTCCTGGTCAAACAGGAGTTAGTATAGCCTCAAGCGTCAGGGCCGAGGTTGAACTATTGGATTGGATCCCGAAAGATAACCGACTATGCGCAGTGAAACTCAGAGGCTCGAGCAAAGTCAAAAAGCAGAAACCAAACGAGAGGTGCTTATTCGTGGTTTCTGCATACGCTCTCACGAACTGTACCCCGGAGACAATCAAAGATGTCTTCTATCACAACCTACATGGGCTTCTCAAAGCACCTAAGAAGGATATCGTGATCCTGGTCGGAGACTTAAAGGCACGCGTTGGCTGCTTGTCACCCGATGAGGCCCACCTTGTTCGCCATCAAGGCCTTGATAGCTGTCGTTTAGATAACGGGGATAGACTTCTTAGCATATGCTCTGAACATGTTCTGTTTACCGTTAGCAGGAACTTCAGACACCCAAAGCGTCACCTCACCACTTGGCGTAATCCCTCTTCGGCACGGATGTGGAGTCAGATTGATCATGTAGCTATTAGCTATATATGAAGGGGATGTATGAGAGAATGCCGTTCGCATTGGTCTACCTCCTTGGACTCCGACCACGCATTGGTTTGTGCCAAGATATCTATGCGATTTGGTGGCCGAAAAAAGATGAGATGCTAACAACTTGACGTCGCCAAGCTTTCAGACCCGGCCGTGCTAATGGATTACCAAAACGAGTTGGCCGCAAGGATAAGTACTACCCCACCGCTTTGACGTGGCGCAGAGGGTTAANTTCCCGGCTGGGGACCTAAAGATTCAAATTGTCTTTGATTGGACAGGCTGCAGGATATGACATTGAATCGAAGTCCATGGCGTGAATACATCCTCTTCTGTGTGTGATCCCAAAAAATAAAGAAAAAAAATAAAACTCAAAATGGCATGCAGTACACAAAAACATTCGCAATTGCCCAAATTGACTGTTTTTCGTTTTCTCTCTCCTGTTTCTATGTTTTGTGTTAAACCCAGGGTTATTTCAGTACCGTACCTGTGAAGGTTGGTGTTAAATATATATAAATATATAGGTAGATGACAGTTGAGCATACGCAATACGTGCCTTAGCCAACAAAACATACTAATCTGAATTATATCTGATAACGAATTTTCCACCGAATCATTATCGAATGTGCGATGACTTACCTCAGAGTTGTTTACACACTCGCTCTATTCAAATCGCGCCGACATCGGCAGTCGACGACTTCTAGACAACTAACATCCTCCACGCGCAAAGTTAGGGTCTCGCAACCGTAAAACAGAACTGACCACACACTGGAGCAGTAAACACGATCTCTCATTTTCAAAGAAACGTCAAGTCGGTACTAAAGGTTTTCAGTCCTGCGTATGCTGCTCGTGCCTCGGAAATGTGGGTGGTTACTTCCTCGACCATGTTACGGTCATTTGTCACGCAACCACTTAGGTTGGAGAAAAAATTCACTATAACTAATTCTTGACCATCAAGTATCAGCACCAGGGTAGACGACACCCAATCTTGTAGCACCACTTTGCACTTTGAAGGTGCAAAGCGCATACCAAATGGAGTTACAGAATTTGAAAGACTGTTAGGAGTGCTTTGCGCATTCTCTATACATTTGAACAGACAGATGATTTCGTCAGCGTACTATGAATCGCATAGCTCTTCTCCAGTTCCCCCATTCAATATCAATATCTTGGAGACAATTTAATGCGTCCACCAATAGTTCGTTTACGACGAAGTTGAACAGGAATGGCGAAATAGGGCACCCTTGACAAATACCGCTCCTGGTTTTTGCTTGGCCCACCGTAAGTTCTGATGCTACCCGAAGTACGCAGTACAGGAATTGCAAAAGGTTTACATTCATTTGAGAAGCAGTGAACCCATTAGGGATTCACGGTTAACTGAATCCAAAGCTCCTTTCAGGTCAAAGAAAACTGCGATTGTTGGTCGACGATGAGTGTGGTGCAATTCGAGGAAGTGAAGATTTGACCGATGCAACTACGACCTGATCGGAATCCTGCATGCTGTTCGCGAATATTCATCTCCCTTAAGGGTGTCAGGCGGTGAGGTATCACTGAAGTTAACACTTTTGTGATGATTGGAACGAAAATTATCCCGCGGTGGTTAGTGCAGTCGTTGCGGGATCCCTTACTAAAGATCAGAACGATCAACGATTTACCCCAGGATAAAGGGATACGCTCCTCTGACCAGATGCAGAGAAGGAAGGTAGTAGTCGAGTCGACGAGAGACTTACCACCAGCTTGAAAAGAATGGGGAGAAGCCAATCAGGTCCCACAGCTTTCCCTTTCTTTAACGATTGGTTACAGTTTCATACTTCGAATTCTGATGGGGGCTCACATGATACATCTAAATAATAATAAAAGCAATGCCTTTTTACTTCCTTGTTTATTATACATTCAACTTTCAGGATGGTGGCGGCAGCCATACAAAGGCTGCCTGGGAAAATACAGATATAGGGAAGACGGGCGGCGGTGGAGCGGTTCGAACCCGGGACTTCCGGGTCACAATTTAGTGGCCTAACCACTTAGATACAACCAACCATGGAGTTTCCCCTACAATCGCCGGAATAAGCGCATTAGCACCAGGTCAATTGCATTGTTCACGAAAATACTCTGCCCAGTGTTCGAGCCGTTGTTCTTTATCGCGGAGACTCTGTCCACTTATATCGCAAATGGTCTCACTGACTGGTATGTGTCAACCTCCGATGCTGCGTATTTAGTAAAAGTCTTTGACCATTCCCTGATGCAGAAGTTACGTTTATTTCACTAGCTATTTTAGCTCACCAGTTTTCACGACCTTTCTTGAGCTGACGTTGCAGGCACCACCGGTTCTTACGCTGGTCCTGGCAGATTGGGATCTTTCGCTTTTGGTCCATCAGGATTACTGATTACTGAGAGATTCAATGTCTTCAACGAACTTCCGGCTCAGCTCCACAAGTTAAGTTTGCTGCCAAATGCACCGCACGTCTAATTTGATTCCTCTGTTGATCTGCCCCACCACCTTGCGGTCCCCTTAGCTCCTGCTTACGCTCCGCATCATAACGTGCTCAAACAGACGGATAGCGCAGAAAACTGACGATCCAACTCAAGAGGAAAGTTTTGACGACGACTGATGAGTAGAAGCGTGGAGCGCATCAGCATTAGTGCGTGATCAGACTCAACGCAGGTAGACCGATAGGATTTGTAATTTTGTACAGTACGGTATCTTACAGCTATTGGGATCACCTTGCCGGCTGAACTAGAACGCCATGTTGCCGTCCGACTACAAGTGTATCGAAAGTTAATGCTAGATAAGAACAGCCGGTGATCTGCGCAGAACTGAAGTAGCCGATCACCGTTGTCTGTTCTCTGAGCTGGAAGAGCGAAGCGCCCCCTACGAAGGTTTCGGATGCGCTCAGTTTTCCAACCTGCATGTTGAAATCACCTGCCAGCACCATAACAGCATGACTACGATCCAATAATATAAGCTCGGTGAATGTGTCGTAAGACTCGTCCTTTTGTGAATTTGGGCTGGAGTTAGTTGATGCACATGCCGATATGATAAAAATGCGCCCTTTGGTACTGTTGCCCTTCCGAACGCTGACTGAACCTTCATTGCGCAAAAACGACTGTTGACGGGTATCCAATCTAGCAGTGAGGTCTCAGCTTTACCACTGAATACGACTCCTAAACCTCGCTGATCCAAAGAGTGGGCTCCATCGCTTCCTAATGTACGAAGGAAGTACCTTGAGGACAGACCCGGCGCACTTAGGTGGTTTATACTACTAGGATCCTGAATTCGTGTCATCGATACAGAACGGATCTCGATTTCCAAAGAGTCTATTGTACGTGCAAGACACGCTTGTTAACCTACCCGCAGAGTCCTCACGTCGAAGGCCCCCAGATTGAGAGGTTGACGAGGCTTCAGAATACGCTAATTATTTAGTGGTAAACTAGTTCCAGTGGTATTTTTCAGCGACCTTCGGCGAGCGGCAAACAAGTTGTCTCATGGGATGTTATCGGTTGGAAGAAGGGTCAAAGGACGGGGGCTGGGTATTGAAGNTGAAGACAAAGAGTTCAACAAAGGCTTGGATATCCTAACCCAATTATCGCTACCCACCCCGCTCGATGCAATGGGCAACGTGATCCTGATTATCCTGCTCGACGACCGATACGGTAAGGAATTATTTTTGCTCGTGTATTCAGTGGTCAAACAGTGGTAATCCTATTCCCGCGAGTCGTTGAAAACCATTTACCTCCAGGCGTTATTTATTCACACCGAATCTGAAACAAACATGGAAGCAACCCAAACCACAAAAGTGAAACGGGAAGGAAACGGTCTGTAGAGAAGAATTATGATTTTTGTAAACCTTTTGATATATTTTAGCACTGCTTTTGGTCCATGGAGACCATTTATCTTCTAATAGGAGATAGTCAAGTGTAGGAAAGAAAAGGCTAAAATTAGAATGCGAATTGCTAGCATGGCTTTAAATGACTTTTCTGGGTTTTATAATACAGACCTTCAATAACTCGAGGTTTATGTTCATTTCTACTGTCCCTAATCAGTATGTGGATAAGTGACAAGAAATTCAATGGAAGCATGAAACGAGTTTTATGAGGGATACCGCAGGTGAAGTACACCGTCTGGTGGTCCAATTATTTGAATAATACTTGAAATAAACAGTTCATAGGGAAGGACGTTTTCAACTACAGATGGTGTAGAGAGGGACGTGCTACTTTTCGCATGAAAGGAACAGCGCATGCAAAGACAATCAAGCAC